CCACACTCCCCACACATGTAGGGTTTCTCACCGGTGTGTTTTGCTAGATGTAAGTCCAAAGAGGACTTGTGTGCTGCAGAATAGTCACACTGGTCACACTTGTAGGGTTTTTCTCCTGTATGGGTTCTCATATGTTGGGAAAAGTGAGACTTGTTAGCTGTTCTGTATCCACACTTCCCACACATGTAGGGCTTGTCACCAGTGTGTTTTGCTACATGCTGGTCCAAAGAGTATTTTACTGCTGCAGAATAGTCACACTGGTCACATTTGTAGGGTTTTTCTCCTGTATGGATTCTCATATGTCGGGATAAGCTGGACCTCACAGCTGTCCTGTATCCACACTCCCCACACATGTAGGGTTTGTTCCCACTGTGCTTTGTTAGATGTTGTGCTGATGCATTTTCCCCGTGCTTTTCTCCAGCTGTGTGGCTGTTCACAGTAAAGCATGACTCGGGCGTTGTCCTAAAACTGCTCTCTTCACTCTCCAAGGGTTTGTCACAAGTTTCATCCATCTCTGTTTTCTGTTTGGAAAGAAAGAAAAATAAAATGACGATCCGGTGAAGGGATGAGCGGCCTCAACTTGGCTGAAGTGATCTACTATCTACTTAGAAAATAACCGAACAGTATTTATTCAGGGAATAAACATAAATATGTAAAACTGCACATTCAAAATATTTTTAGTGCAAATCTTGAAAATCATGTGCATTTTGCACATTGCACATGGGTATTTCTAGACCTGGGCTCTCAGAACATTCAGTCACAAAGAATAAGTTCGACTGGATATATATAATTATAAATGTTTAACAAATTTGACCTTATTTTACCTTAGTATGCATGTGAAAATAAACAAATTCAGGGAATCTGCTAGCCGTGGCGACTCTTGATTCGGGCTTACATTGCATTACCCTCAGCAAGAGTCGTGGAAAGATCCATTGGCAGAACTGCACATTTCCTGTTGGCTGCCCGATGCTCCGTTTTTGACCCGGTTTTTTTGCTGTCCCGAGCTTCCCTACAATATAACTCCACAATTTGGCCGGGTTTGCCGATGTTTTAGATCAGCCTAAATATTCCACAGCGCGACAGAAAAGTGTAAAATAGCTAGTCGGCACAAGCTGGCGCCATCTTGGATATAGTCGGGAATGTCCGCTACCGCCGTCGGGAACGCTCGGTAGCGTCACGATTACCGAAGCCCGACCGAAAGCTCTCCGATTATAACCGGAAAGGCTACCGAGCGTTCCCGACGGCGGTAGCGGACATTCCCGACTATATCCAAGATGGCGCCAGCTTGTGCCGACTAGCTATTTTACTATTTTTCTGCCGCGCTGTGGAATATTTAGGCTGATCTAAACATCGGCAACCCGGCCAATTGTGGAGTTATATTGTAGGGAAGCTCGGGACAGCAAAAAACCGGGTCAAAAACGGAGCATCGAGCAGCCAACGGGAAATGTGCAGTTCTGCCAATGGATCTTTCCACGACTATTGCTGAGGGTAATGCAATGTAAGCCCGAATCAATAGTCGCCACGGCTATGTCCGTTCCAGATTTATTTGACCCAACCCCCCTGTCCGTTCCAGATTTGGTTGGCCCAACCCCCCTGTCCGTTCCAGATTTGGTACTAGTACATGTACCTGCCTTTTTCATATTAGGCAACTACGTTTTTGTGTTTTGAGCGTTAGTGCATGAGTTGACTATTGAAATCAACTTAAAGCTTGTTTTGAGTTTAATATCTTCAGCATTCAACATCACTATGAGGCAACTGAACTAAGCTTCCACCATGGATTTGAGCATCCTATGATTGTATGAAGAAAAGCACAAAAAAATTGCACTGTGCATTTTCCCTGTGAGGCCCTGTGAGGAATATGCGGGAAATGCACAGTGCAATTTTTTTAGGACTGAGCAAAACATTACAGGATGGCCATGATTTTCCAGAGATTACTTTGGGACATTTCAAGTTGAAACATCTCTCACTCTTCTTCAGTGGCACTAAATCACACTTGAAGGAACTAGAAAAACTGTAAACAAAGAGTGAAAGACACATAAGTGTCACTGTTTTTGTTATGTAAATGAGGATAAGGTAGATTATGGTAATACTAATACAACACCATAGGAACTGCTTGTACTGGAGAGTTCTATGGGAAATCCTCCCTTCCAGTTAGTGGAGTTGTAGCTGCGCCTATAGAATAGATTAGGCCTCCTAGAAATGTCTTGAAGTAATCTCCGTGATAATTTATGCAGTAGTAGAGTTTGATTTGTCTTTGAATATTGTTCACCTGGATGTCTAACCTTCATCAGGGTTATAAAAAGATAAGTTTGACAAAATAATAAGCTTGCGTGCCAGGCAACCTGACGTCTCCATGGCCAAGTCTCAGAAAACATGACTTGTCTGGCAAAAGTGTGAGAGTGGGTATTTTTCACCCTGCCTGAGTTCTGTCACGGATGAAAAAATATGACTTGGTAGAAATTCATGACATTATCTTGTTGTATGACAATCTATATACAGTTTTAAACCATTGTCTTTTTATGAAAGAAGGGAGTATGTGATATTTCTATGATGAAGAAATTCAACAGAGTTAAGAATCTAGCTGGTTTGGTGGGGAAAACAATGGGAACCTGTAGGGAGTTTGTTTGTTCAAGCAGTGCCAATTCAGTGTGTTGTGTTAAAACTGAGTATTCCAGGTCCTTTGGCATTGGGCTTGACTTGAGGAAATCAAAGGAGGTTTTGTTTTAAACAAGGAGCTGGTTAACTTGAAAAATCTATTTCTAACCTCCTTGTTTTGCTCAACTGCTGAGAGTATTGGTTTTGAAAATAATTCCAACTAGCCTTACGCCCACACCTTCAGTCCTTCAGTGTTGTAAAGAACATGTTTACTGTACACTAAAAATTAAATCACGACTTATAATTCTTTTCGGCAAATCAAATGACTTTGTGTAAACCTGACTGTCCTGAACTTTTACCCTCGAATTTTATTTTGGACTGAAGACAGTGTGACTTTGGCCTGAGATAATTTAGCATAATCTGATAACACAACAATGTCTGACCAAACAATAGGAACTCATTAGGACATGGAGCCAGTAATTAGCATTTCAATGAGTTACTGCAGCTGGTTGTGTGAAAACTGAAATCCTGGTACACCAAAAGTCTAGTACAAGTCGACTAGAACCCTTGGATAGGAAAAGAACCTAAAAATACTGAAAAGTACTAAGAAAATCAAAGTTTCTTTAACAAATGCAAAATAATTATCCAATAAAGCAGTTCAATTTTAGATGGTCTGTAAAAGATTAAAAGGATGATAGACCAAAATAATTAGTCTCTACCACTAGTACCAAACTATTTACGAGAATATTTGCCAGGTTAGTTTGGCCACCTTTGGGTTTGACTTCTGAGGGTTACTGGATTGTATCCAGAAAGAAACAACCTTCTGCAGACTGACTCCCCAGGCCAATCCTTTGTACCAAAATATATATGCCACAATTCGTATTCCCACAGAAAAGCCTGGTGGAGGCTACTAAATAACAACAAAGCAACAACAAATGTGTCTTATCTGATAAATTTTACCCATATTTTAGTCAAGTATATTTGGCATATGAACTATATGCATTCACTCAGACTCTGGCCAGTCTTTGCTTGCATACAAGGTACATGTACTGAGTACTAGTATCTTGAGCATCTATTACCATAAGCCAGACTGAAAGGTGAGAATTATCCATGGGGAGACTGTTCCTTTCTGCTGTACACAACATAACAATGCAAGGAACTTTGTGAAATCATGCACATATACAGTATGCCCAAATCAGTATTATTACTTAACTTTTCAGTTTGCAAGAAATTTGTTGTACAATTTTTTGTTTCATTTCATTTGTCCAGGGCTCAAAATTCATTATTGGGAATAGATGCACCGATGCAAACAATTGGGTGTATAAAAGATGTTGGGTGCACTTATATAAAACAAGATTACTGGCGTTAAAAAAGCCTCACACAAAAAGCCTTGCTTCTTGGCAGTTTCTTCTGACTTTGAAGAATCACTATCGGTTTCTTCTTCAACATTGGGCTACTAGAATATTTGGCTGCACTCAGAAAAAGATTGGGTGTACAGCTCCATTTTTTGGTGCACCCTGAGTATTTCGAGACCTGATTTGTAGTTTTCATCAAAGCGGGCAAAACAATGGACAGGAGTGAGTGATACCCAGTTCATGTGATTCGTTGTTGGTTAAATACACTCAGGTTCACACTCGCACTTCAATATCATCTAAATGACTGAAAAGAAAATCAAACACAGTTTTTATTCTTTTACAAGTTACAAGAGCATTTGCAAAACAACTTATGCAGTTGACTCCATATTCAGTTGAACCAAGGAGCTTATACTAGTTATAGTTATTGGGCAACTAGATAAAAAGGAACAAAAATGATATATTTTACAGACAAGTTGCAATCTGCACAGTCACCTTACCATGCATGACATATTTTTTTTAGATCAACAAAGAAGTTAGGAAGTTATTATAGTGATTCATAGATGGAAAGAAATAAACCTTGAAGTGTGGTATATAACAACTGAGAGAAACTGTTGGCTAAAATTCAACTGATCCTTTGTATGCTAAACCATTGAAAGAGAATGCCGGATTAACTTGTTTAACTTTACAACACTTGCTTGTTAACTTTACAGTAACCAACTAATTACTTGTGGTAAAAATGTTGTTTCAGATAAATTTTGAAAAGGAAAAGGACTTTTAGTTTCTAAATTAAGATTTCCTACTATTGCATCTATATTTGCATGTAATAAAGAATAAATCTATAATCTGCACTTTATCTTATATAGCAGGACTAATTCGAGGAGTGCACAAACCATCACTATTTACAGAGATGTCTGGCAGTATAAACTTCCTGGCACTTATAACCTGATGTCCATAAGGTCTGACATGTGATTTAGCTGTTTGGTCACTTTAATTTTGAAAGGTGTGGGACAGTTGAAAATTAGATTCGTTAACTTAGTTAGAGCAAATTTTATCTCTGTACTACAGTATGTACATCTTATATAGACTATATGAGAGTGGTATGCATATTGAATCTATGTTTATGATTGTATGAAATATTTATTATGTCCTTTATCCAGCAAAAAATCATTCTCCAACCTTCAATGAAACATCTAAGACTGTTCCAAGAGATATTAAAAAATCCAAACCATAAAATGCTGAATACACCCAATACCCACCACTCCAGTCTGGCTCCAACCCGGGTTAAATTGTTTTACCCAACCCCCCTGTCCGTTCCAGATTTGTTTGACCTAACCCCCCTGTCCGTTCCATGTTTATTTGACCCACCCCCCCTGTCCATTCCAGATTTGGTTGACCCAACCCCCCTGTCCGTTCCAGGTTTATTTGACCCAACCCCCCTGTCCAGTCCAACCTCTTCCGCCCCCCATTCTCCTTTATTTTTTGGAATAGCCCATTAGTTGACTCATCTATATAATTTGTTTTGTACGTAGGTTAATTTCGTTGTACCCATGTATTTGTCTGTATATCTACATGCAGTGTTAGACCTTACGAAAGTCGCTGTACTTTTGCTGTGTCAATGAAGTTCTATCATAATTCATATTTAGTAGATGTAACGTTAGGTGTAAGGATAAAGTTGACTTCAAGTTGAAGTCATACGGTATCATTTAAAAAAATACAGGTTACGACATTTCATCCTCACTTAGTTAGGGACAATTGAAATTTAGTTTTGGGACAGTGCTGGGACAATAGTTATTTTCAAGACCTCGCTAGTAATGTGTCACTGTAATAATTACAATAATTTTTCTTTCCTCACACACTCCAGATGCCACGGTGTACGTTGGAGGTCTGGATGAGAAAGTGTCGGAAGCTCTGCTGTGGGAACTGTTCCTACAAGCTGGACCAGTCGGTATGGATCTCCTTCTTCTTCTTGATACTCTCTAACAACCCCTACTGGGGCATCACTGAGAGGGGGGGTTACGACGGACTATGGCTGCGCGGCCAGGAGTCCGGCCTTAAAGGCCTCCACTGTCTGGGCTTGTACTAACTGTCCCGGCAGCTTATTCCACTCTTTTAGTGTTTGTGGAAAAAAAATCTAAAAGAAAATCTAAAACAGTCTGTTTTGGCAGATATTACTTGATATTTATACTCATGACTTCCTCTGGTGCACTTAGGGGCAGGTTTGAGGTATTGTTCTGTTTGAATATTGATATGACCATGAGCAATTTTGTATAAAGATATCAAGCGAGCGGTTCTCCTTCTGTCAACAAGTAATGGCCACTGGAGGCGCTTTAACATGTCAGAAAACTAGTATTACTGAACACTATTTTTCTCCTTCCCCAGTGAACACACACATGCCAAAGGACAGGGTAACACAGGCACATCAAGGCTACGGGTTTGTGGAGTTTATGTCAGAAGAAGATGCAGACTATGCCATCAAGATCATGAACATGATCAAACTGTATGGAAAACCCATCAGAGTAAATAAGGTAATCATTTTCCCAGTTTTGAAAGTGTTTTGAGTGATAGAGATAATTTCTTACTCTCACCTCTCGAATAAACGTACCGGTACGTTTATTTTTTTTCGCCTCAAAATCCACCCGGTACATTCTTATTTTAGACGATACGTTTATTTCTTTTTTCATAATCAGAAAAGTTCCAGGAAAATTTGCGGTCTTGAACGTAAAATGACAAAAAAGACACCACTTCTCCCAGCCGATAGCACAATAAAAATGTCCGGGTACGTTCTATCTTGGACGGTACGTTTTACTAAGTTTTCAAAATCAGGGCAAGTCTAACAACATATTACCTCCCTTTCTGCAATATATTATATGACTGTACATGTGTCTGTTGCCTCGTTGAGGCCAGTAGGATATAGATTACATACTAGATGGAATTATAGAGAAATGAATTATGAATAAAGAAAAATTTAGACGAGAAATTGATGATGTGGGCATAGATTTTACATACATTTGCTCAGCACCATTTTCTTTTTGTGATGTCCTTTTATATCTAGGATTTTTTTTCTACCATATGAGATACATCACCTAGCAGCTTTCTTTATAACTGCTGACTTCTACGTGAATGTATGTGATGCTTTGTGAAAGTTTAAATGATGTCTAATTTCATTTTGCAACTCAATATTTCCCAGGCCTCAGCTCACAATAAGAACCTGGATGTTGGAGCCAACATCTTCATCGGTAACCTGGACCCTGAGATTGACGAGAAACTCCTGTATGATACCTTCAGCGCCTTTGGAGTTATTCTGCAGACACCAAAGGTAAGAAGACAGTCTATACAGGGTTCTAGCAAGTGCAAAGTAGCGTAGGGGCCTCCTACGCTATGATTTTGACCCCCTATGCTAAATTTCCCCCCTACGCTATAATTTTGACCCCCTACACTAAATTTCCCCCCTATGTTAATTTTTAATACAGCATAGGGGCATTGTGCATTGTATTTCTTGCCAGATCAAATGTGAAAAATCAAGGATACATTGTACATACCTTGTCCCTTGGGTATCCCTCAAATGACCTCTTTTTAAGCTCAAATTTCTTAAAGCTCCGCTTCGCTCCCTCATCATGGGGCCAGTGCCACTACGCTAAAATTAAATCCTAGCTAGAACCCTGCAGTATATGTGCATAATCATCAGTTCAGTGTAAGGAGGTATTCTTACATGTAGTGAGTCCCTGCTATGGAAGTATTGTTTTTGGGTGGCTGAGCTGTGGTTATGTGTGTCTGTCTGGACAGAGTTGCTCGACATGTACAGCATGCATGTACATTGTAGTTGACAATGTAGGAAGCCAACCATTGTATGAGCACTGCATAAATATAGGGACCCTCTTACATTTGTACTATTCTCCTGAATGCTCTTGATCCATGATCTACTAGTATGGAGGGATTTGAGCTGTGCCTGTGTCACCGTTTGCTTGTACGTGTTTCTGTTATGTCTACATGCTAGACATGTCTGAGACACTGTCCTCAACTTAGGTCATAGGTCCCATTAAAGGTTATCTTATTGCCTGTCTTCACTTCCAGTGCTGTATGCCTTTCTGTTGCCATGTTAGCTTGTTAACCCTAACGTTAGACCGCAACATCTGTTATGTAATAGTATGTTAACCCGACATGTAAAATATAGTACACAATGTAATTGTAGTAAACGCATGACGACTAGGCCAGATCTCATAGCTTGTTAACGTCAGACCGCAACATCTGTTATAATAGTATGTTTATCTGAAGTGTAACCGACACTGCTACCTGTTCCGAATTGTTTATGTTCTTGTTGTGAGGGCTAGTCCTTTATAATAGTCTCCAGCTAGTTGGGCAGTCCTGGCTGTATATATATGTCTTATACAGCCTAATAAATCAAATCAAATCAAGTGGGAATTAGCACAAAGACAGAATATGTGAGAAGTTATCGATAGATTATAAGGCAAGAGATTTACAAATCTCTGTTGATTTCAGATCATGAGAGATCCAGAAACAGGAAACTCCAAGGGTTACGCCTTCATCAACTTTGCCAGTTTTGATGCCTCTGATGCAGCGATTGAGGCCATGAATGGACAGTACCTGTGTAACAGACCCATCACCATATCATATGCCTTCAAGAAGGACTCCAAAGGAGAGAGACATGGTTCAGCTGCAGGTAAGGATATTTCATTAGAAGCCAATGTTTTTGCTCTGTTTCTTTTTTCTTGTCCAAACACATACATATAAGGTCATTGACCTGGACCAGAAGGCTGTCACCATGGTGATTGGCGCTGTTACATAGCAGACACCCTGTGGTGCTGGGTTATATAATGTAGCAAGAACTGAGTTGGAGGGGCTGGTCACAATGTACATGTATATATAACACCTAGCAGAAAATAGCACCTACATGTACATTGTAATAATTGCACCTAGCAGAAAATAGCATCTACATTGTAATTATCAGAGCAGTACACAAGGAATTGTTACAAGCAACTGGATAGGTTTGGAAAACTGTCAAACATTTCACGTCGATGAAGGTTAGACATCGAGGTAATACGATATGCCAAAAAACAGTTACTCAAGCAGTTGGATATGATTTTGAAAACGTCAGACGTTTCAGCTAGTATCCACTAGCTTTCGTCAGTGACTGAGAGACCAGAGGGGAAAGCAGGTTTATATACACAACCAATACAACAAACTCAATCAACAGGTTGTGTATATAAACCTGCTTTCCCCTCTGGTCTCTCAGTCACTGACGAAAGCTAGTGGATACTAGCTGAAACGTCTGACGTTTTCAAAATCATATCCAGTTGCTTGAGTAACTGTTTTTTGGCATGTCAAACATTTCAAGTAGCAACAACTACTTTTCATCAGAATCTGTAGCTTAGCAGGTATTTATATAAAAAGTATGAATTAATACGTAAATGGGTCTTAGTAAAAGCTTTACAGCGAACCATTAGACAATATCTGGTCTCACATAGAAGTTTGTAAATGCTCCTGAAGATATACACCAACCATTAGACAATATCTTGTCTCACATAGAAGTTTGTAACTGCTCCTAAAGATATACACCGAACCATTAGACAATATCTTGTCTCACATAGAAGTTTGTAAATGCTCCTAAAGATATACACCGAACCATTAGACAATATCTTGTGTCACATAGAAGTTTGTAACTGCTCCTAAAGATATACACCGAACCATTAGACAATATCTGGTCTCACATGGAAGTTTGTAAATGCTCCTAAAGATATACACCAACCATTAGACAATATCTGGTCTCACATAGAAGTTTGTAAATGCTCCTAAAGATATACACCAACCATTAGACAATATCTGGTCTCACATAGAAGTTTGTAAGAGCTCCTGGAGTCTCACACCAATGTTGTTTGTTCCAGAGAGGTTACTGGCTGCCCAGAACCCGCTGTCGCAGGCAGACCGGCCCCACCAGCTGTTTGCTGATGCCCCGCCCACCCCACAGTCCAACCCACCCATGTCATCAGCACCTCCGCAGGGCGGCCCTCCTCCTGGTTTGTTTATTTATTTGTTTGTTTATTTTGGTTCTCCATTAGAAGATACACATCATTTATTGTTATTAGGCCACAGCAATTTAATTTGTTGGTCCTCGGATTCGCAGCTTCCTTTTTCGGATTAACCCCCCCCCCAAAAAAAGATTCTGGTTCTGAATCAAGTAAAAAAATGCTCTTATTTTGCCACTAACACTAACAGTTGAGCAAAGTTCTTTTCTTCCAAGTTGATAAAGTTTTTTTCAATCTATCAATGCAGTGGTTTGAGGACCAACAAGTTAAATTGGTGTGAGATTTATTAGTCTACATGTACCTTGAGTCCTTAGCGATATGTGTACATTTGTACATGTAGGACAGTATGTCCTGGTAGTTATACCAGTTTACAAAATCATAGCAAAAGCTACATACTGTTTTTGCTGTCATCCTATGGGTGCCGCCATTTTGAATGACACATCATCACCATCTTGTTTCTTGGTGGATTCAATTTTCCACAGAGAAGAGTACATTTGTAAATGTAGTTTCTGAAGTGTTTTCACAAATTGTGAATTGCAGAAAAATTTGTACTGATGTTCTGTAAATAGCATCTTTCTGTGAGACATGTATGATTTTCTGAAGAATTTGCTGACATTGTGGGTTGGTCTCTTTGCAGGAATGCCCCCTCCAGGCATGCCCCCTCCGCCACCCCCTCCGGAGTCCCCCCACCCCCATGCCTCCACCAGGAATGGGAATCGCCCACCCTCGAGGTGGGCCCCCTGGTCCCGTCCCCCCTCCACCCATGCCCCTATGGGCATGCCCCCCATGCCGGTCCCCCCACCCCCCTCATCTGGAGGCATGCCGTCTGCCAGCAATGCCGCCTCTACCTCCGCAACAACATCACAAGACCTGGCCACCACCACGTCAGCTACCAACATGCCCCCTCCCCCCGGGGGGCACCACATGGGACCCCCTCCTGGTATGCAGGGCCCCCCTGGCATGATGCCCCCACCTCCCTGGGGTAAGTGCCCAAAAACCTATTTTTGAGGATATTCTGTTCAATATATTGGGAGCACATTGGCAGAACGTACTGCGCCTGCGAGGAACCCTGTATTTTCACGTTTTTCGGTGGATTTTTGGTCAACGTTGCATCAGAATTTTGCCTGTTGGCAGTGTTGCAAAGGATATCTTTTCCTACATAACATTTGGAAACTACAGACGGGATGTTAACCTTATATGCACGAATATGACCTTATATGAGATGTTCTGCCAAAGTCCTATGTACAATACATTACGGGTTTCGCGCAGGTGCAGTGCGTTCTGCCGACGTGCTAATATGGGGTAAGAAGAATTATTTTTGGCAATGCCACAGGGGCTGAGGCATTTTCCAGTACGAGATTGGGAAATGGTGCTCAACTGTTGTCTAGTACATAACAGAGAATTTGTCACTGTTGCCTATCTTACTGACACATGTATGAGTACTCCGAATTCAAATTTTAATATTTTGCATGGACTTCATTTTGATATAAAATGTATAAAATTTCAAGATTTACTGAATTGTTTGTGGTTTAATCTGCTGTTATTTTCCCCAGGTGGCCCAGGTATGCCTGGCCCGGGTATGCCACCCCCTCCTGGACACCCCGGCATGGGGCCGCCCCGAGGCCCCCCTCGTGGGCCACCCCCCGGCATGATGCCCCCTCCTGGCTTCATGGGAGGTCCACCAGGACCCCCCAGACCTCCACCTTTTGGTAAGTACTTAAAAACTGTCCTCCATTCTCAAAAACTGTCATCCAGTGCAGTTTTTAGGGCTTGGAAACCAGATTTTTCAAGGCAATATTGTAGTCATTTATCTACATACAGAGTTAAAACCACACTATCCCAATGTATATTGACCATCTTGGAGCAAGAATACCCAAAATGCTGACAGAAAATGATTACTGGAAGGGCCCTGGGTTGACTTTTAGAGTACCACCCAGAAAATAAAGGACTCAACATGGGGCTGCCGCTTGTTTCTGCAGTTTTAAATGTTCAAAGTATGAAATACTGATTGAAATGTGCTAATGTGGAGCAGTATGTGGTTCTTGTTTGTTAGTTTGTTTCTTTGTTTGTTTTTGGTGCACTGTTACGACTTGCTGACACTGCTGTATCACCACTTGTAGGTCCAGGACCAGGTTTTCCACGCGGCCCTCCACCAAGAGGCATGAGACTACCACCCCCGCCCAGAGGAATGAGACCACCCATGCCACCAAGACCAAGATAGAAATATGCCAGAAGATACCATGTCTAAGGGGGCAAAGAGGGATGGGTTTTTATTTTTTTTCTCAGTGACCAATGTAGAGAAGAAACATTCTTCACCATTTTGTTATATTCAGTTGTTTTTCTTACTCTTAGAAGACTAGTCTGTCATTCCATCAGAAAGGTATAGTTTGTTATAAATGTAGTCCTTATCACACATTAAGAACTATCCCCCTGAACTAGAGCTGTGTACCTAAACAAATTTTAGTTACAGGTACAGGTACACAGGTTTAGGTACAGGTCCAAACCTGAAACTGTATCTGAAAGATCCAGCAAATAAACATGTTCTTCTGAACTCCTTCCATAATGACAGAAACATGAGTAAACTTGACAGTTAAGTGTAAGTTTTTGTTTATGGAGAAGTCTTATATAAAACATAGGCAAAACTAAGTTGTTTCAGTTATCATTTCCTACCCTGCAACACAAAGTGGCATCTAGAGGTAGCATAACTAATATGCAACAGATCTTTAATTAAATTCACAACATACAATTGTTGTAGTCTAAAGGTTTTTTATCATACTGAAGTTTTCTGCTCAAAACTCGTGGAATATCGCGAGATCTTGAAAAAAATGGCCGACCTTATTTACACTAGTGCCAAGCGCTACAGATTTCTTTCTTTTTATTCCAACATTTCACGACTAGACATGGTGACTAGCGGTCAGGCCGATACCTCGGCCGGTACGGAATACCCAGTGTTGTATTCTATATTCATGTAGTACCATTGCTCTATATAGTAATTTCGTAACGTGTGTACTGAAGTATCAATGGAAGTATACAGAAGAATTTTCTTATTTATGCACATAACCAAGGCCAAAAAATAATTTAAAAAAAACAAGAAAAAAATCCAAACTAAAACAGAACAGCCGTGGGTTGTCATTATTAACCATGTTCATTATATAATCTTACAGCACAATATTTAAAAAAAAGACTTTTTTTAGAACGGGCGAAAATTATTGTGCACGTGGATGCCATAAAAAAACTGAATCAGTGTGACCTTATGTATATGTGTATATGCACCGCGATCTGTGCTTAAAACAACGTGGCAAAATTGTACCGCGAAGGTCTTCATTTTTTTTTATTCCAACATATATTCACAAGACGTGCGTGGTGACAGCACACTCGAGTTTTTTCAACTTATATTAATGCCGCCACCAACACAAGGGGACAATACAATACAGACACAACTCATTTTCACCTGAGCGAAGTGAGGAAACTCGTGTAAAGTGCCTTTCCCAATGGCACAAGATCGGTGACATGTCAGGACTCGAACTCGGAACTTCTAGGTTCCGAGTCGAGCACTCTGCCGCTACGCCACACGGTCTTCATTTGATATCGGCTTGTCATTATTTATCAAGCCTCCAATCAAGAGCGCGCCAGATGGAACGAGGATTAGCGCCTGACATTATTGGTATTTCCACTAAGACTCTTTCAGCCATTGTCTCAAAGAGGGACTCAAGAGCCGCTAATCCTGCCCTGGTGCAGGCTGTGCCCCGGCAAAGCCGCACTAAAGTAAACATCGATCAAAATGAAAGGATTCAAACCTTTGTACTACGAAAGTCTTTTTCATAAAAGATCCTATGCCGTATGGGGGCGGAATATTAAATATAGAACACACTGACCCGCTAGTAAACGTAGAGAAAAGTAGCGGCTGCACCAGGTCTTTCGTGGAGCCTTTCTTTGCTTGAAGGTAGGTTTATATTTTATATAATTCTTCACTTTATTCTATTTTGTAGGACGACGTGTAGAAATATTTTTTATACAGAACTAAGTCCTAGGGAAAGAAATTGTGTCCCAAGTTTCCCGAACGACTGTAGCAAAAAAAAAAAACAAATCGACCCTAGGCATTTTTTTGGCGTCGGTAAGTCCATGAAATTTTCTTTCCGACATTTGAATTTCAAACCCTTGCCTTGTGAAAAGTCATTTCCCACTGTTGTACAAAAACCTTGTGAAACATCTTTCCCTTCAGAAAGCGGACTGAGGATGGGTCCTGGAGACAGCCTTGATTTACCTTGCTAAATTGTATTAGATCACATCAACCACAATCTTTGAAAAAAAAATTACATATAAAAAGAGAAAATCCTAACCTACCTACCCTATGTTTTAGGACTGAAATTAGACGAACAACATATTTCCCGAGGTCTTAGCAATCAGGGCATGGGGTCGTGTTGCGTAGCGGCAGAGCGCGCGACTCGGAACCTAGAGGTCCCAGGTTCTAGTCCTGACATTCCACCGATCTTGTGCCCTTGGCCTTGGGAAAGGCACTTTACACGACTTTCCTCACTTCGCTCAGGTGAAAATGAGTATTGTCCTGTCATGTATTTGTCCCCTGTGTTGGTGACGGCATTAATATAAGTTGATAAAACTTGAGTGTGCCGTCATCACGTCTGGTGATTACACGTTGGCATTAAAAAAAATCAGGGCATGGTGACCCCAAAACACGTGCAGGTTGTGCACGTTTTTCTTTGAGTGCCCCGAAGCCAAGTATGATCGACCTCGACTACGCAGCTGCAAACTGACCGGAGTTGGGTCACACCGACTTAATTTTATGGATGACATCCTCCGATGACCCCAAAGTAGTTCGCACAGGCGAATAAAAAAAAAGTCCGACCAAAAAAAAATGCTACTAAACCACAGGAATACAACGCTGGTATTGTGAATTTGCGGCAAGACATAGCGCCATATACGATTAGTACGGCACATGCTGGCTTTTTGCGGAATTTATGGATCGGCACTGGAGCTTCGGTAGCCTGGGCGCCATCCTCTAGAGTTACCACCTCCGTATTGTCACTAGCAAACTACTGTGGAATATCCAGGTCTAGAGACTCCGATTCAGTTCTACTGGTAGATATATACCCCGCTCGGAGTCTTTTATGGCCTTTTATCGACAGAAACTTCGATAGGAATTTCTCCCGGTAAAATTGCTGATACTAGCGGCAGAGATCCCGATTGTATTCTGGTGGTGGGTTTTAAGACATTCACATAAAAGGCAGTCCAAAGTTTTCAGGTTTAATTCGTGTCAATTTTGATCAATTGATTCACTTAAAATTTAGGAGTTATAAATGTGAAACCATCCTCACGCATTTGTCGACAAAAACTCCGATTCTATTAGATCTCTGCCCTGATATTTCAAAGTTGAAAAACTGCGTTTAACTTTATTCTCTTCAAGGGCGGTGGTAAACTGTCTGTAAAGGTCGGTCCACCATGAGCAGCGTCACAGCCATGACCGTGCCGCTGCGCCACCTAGCGGTTTTAGTGTTGGTTCTGGGTGCAGCGGTCTGGACGGTCCACTCTGCGGCCGAGCTGTGCCAGCGTGACGTCATGTGTTTCTGTGACGCGCGCCAATCAGCTGTGCGCTGCTACGACAAGACTGTCAACTTCACAACCATGATGTCGGTAAGGACGACTGGCAAGACATAAACTTTCTTCTCAGTATGTACGGAAGTACTTCTGGGGATTTGTGTGTCTGTCCAGAGTAGATTGACAGCACGAGGGTGGAACAGATTGACAGGCAGAATGATGAGAGGTTAATTAAAAGGGCGGGCACAGTAAATTGTGAAAGGCATCATGTCGGTACGGTAAAGTTACAGGGTGAATGACTGGAGGTCAAAAGGACAGACTAAGGAAATGGGGGACCGGTGTAAACTTGTAAATCACGAAAACAAAAAAAATAATTCAAATCAAATACACAAACACACTCAAAACACACAGACACGCAAAAAATTTTACTGCGAAGTATAACGTTATATATACCAGGACTTGTTGGTATCAGTCTATTCTCCAAGCAGAGAAAATTCGGCTTCGGTTTATTTTGACATTTATTAGCATCAGTCAACAACCCCCACTTATGCTGAGGTCACATTTCCAAGCCGGGGCCCGGCCGGGCTGTTTCGATTAACGAAAAATCAGAAATTTATATCAATAATATACGCAGATAGTTTCCATTATTATTTTTTTGTGCTTTCTTGTCTTTTATATCATAATTTTCGTTCTATAAGACTGCCCGGCCGGGTCCCGGGTTGGGAAATGTGATCAGCATAACAACAATTATTTTCTCATGTCATCATTTATGCCATTCGTTCGTAATCTTCAAGCAGATTCAGTGGGGCAAGGGGACTTTATATTGGCCAGTCCTGTATCCATTGGCCGCCTGTATCCAACGTTCGCCCCACGGATACAGGCGATCAATGGATACAGGACTGGCCAATATAAAGTCCCCTTGCCCCACCGAATCTGCTTGGAGATTAATCCGTTCGTTCATTACCTCCATGAAAAATGGAGGTATTGTTTTTGGCGGCGTCTGTCTGTGTGTCTGTCTGTGTGTGTGTGTGTCTGTGTGTCTGTGTGTGTTTCCGCAACTTTGTAGTCAGCATAACTTCATAACGCCTTTATGGATTGTGATAATATTTGGTATGCTGATAAGTCTTAGGAAGACAAAGGTCAAGGTCAAATATGGGCCTCCTGGTGGATGACCTTGGTACTGCAGCAGAACTTCCAGTTTTTGTATCTTTGGTCCTGAACATGCTATGGTCTTGAATTTTTGGTAACAGATAGCTTTTCCTGTCAGGAATAAGTGGTGTGGGTTTGGTCCCCCTAGCTGCTTGTTCAGGAACTGCAGGGGACTTTCGGGCGAAATCTTTGAAAGCCAATAAGTCCAGATAGGAACAGCGTATTTTCATCATTTTTGGTGTGTAGGTATTTGACAGAGAGATGTACATAATTAACTACAAATTATGCAAATGAGGACTTCATTTGCATAATTAATGAGGAAATTCTATAATTACAGTGTTTTACATTATAGAACTTTCATACATGTAATGTATGTAACCTATGGCAGATGGAACATCACCAGATACCAATTAAGCAAATTATGACCTAATTTGCATAATTAATGCAAAAAACCTATGATTTCTCAATGGTGAATGATGGGAATGTCATACTTGGGACGTCTTAAAGTTAATCAAAAGTTAACATCACGATGCATATATTATGTTAATGCAGAGGTCATTTGCGTAATTAAAGAAGAAATTTACATTTACATATCAAGCCCATATTTCATGGAGGTATGAGATCTCGGAACTCTTGTTCACCAGGTTGTGCCGAACGGTACGAACCACGTGTTTGTTACCTTCTCCAACCTGACGACGTTCCGCGGCGGGACTGCCGGCTACCCGGCCGGCCTGGTGTGGTTAGAACTCCCGCTCAACAACATCACCTCCGTCACGCCGGGTGCCTTCAGCGGGCTCGGCAGTCTCACCAAGCTGCGTCTGTCAGCTAACAAACTCTCGTCTCTCTCACGCGACATGTTCTCTGGCATGCCGAGCTTGGAGAGGCTGGAGGTATGTGTGTTTGTTTGTTTGTTTGTTTGTTTGTTTGTTTGTTTGTTTGTTTGTTTGTTTGTTTGTTTAAAAGGGAGCTCTTGTCCTATTGAAAATATAGGCAAATATGCATATCAGGACCTCGCATATTTAACATACTAAAACCCAACTAATGGTGATTAACAACAAACTTTTTGGGAGTTGAGAACATAAAGCAATTCAGGGTTAAACTGGTTGATCATTGTATGTACAATGTTGTAAATAAGCATATTGTACTTTTGTATCACGCTGATTTAAAAAAGAAGATTCAATTCGATTGATTGATTGATTGATTGATTGATTGATTGATTGATTGACAATGTTTCATGTTGTACTTCAGGTGTGGGGTAACGTCATCACCATGGTGTCAGACGACACTTTCAGCGACCTGAGGAACCTGACGCACTTGGACCTACAGATCAACAATTTGGTGTCCGTTCCCTGCGCCGCCTGGCGACATCTGTCCAAACTGCAGGACCTGCGGTTGTCCCGAAATCCGCTAAGACACATCCCTCCGAAATGTTTCTCCAGCCTCGAATCTTTAGAAATTCTGCATCTCAAGAACATGGAGCTGGTGTACTTGGCTAAAGACACTTTCCTTGGGCTTGAAAGTCTTGAAATACTGGCCCTTGGATGGAACAACATTTACTCTATCGATGACATGGCTTTTAGTCGGCATCCGAACCTACAATCTATATCTCTCAACTACAATAACCTCAGCGCGGTTCCAAAGTCGGTCTGGGGCAATCTGTCCACCCTTGCTGACTTGGACTTGACCTTTAACCCTATCCGCACGCTGGCCTCGGATGCCTTCGCGCCTTTGAAAACGATCGCTCGGCTCCGTCTCGGCAACGCCGAACTCTCCCGAATACACGACGACGCCTTCCGAGGGCTGGACGAGGTGGCCGAGCTTCGGCTTGAGAATAACGAGTTGCAGACGCTACCGGAGAATTTGTGCGGACTGGTTTTTAACTCGGTGACGCTTGCAGGCAACCCCTGGTCGTGTGACTGCCGTCTGAAGGAACTTAAAGTTTGTAAAACTGGCGGTTTTACCGACCGTATTCTGTGCGAGTCACCACAGAGACTGAAGAACTCAAAGATGTCCGATGTGTCGGTAGGGGACTTGGTCTTACAATGTCAGAGTCCTTCGATTCAAACCGCGCCAAGGCAGTTGATGATTGCGGAGGGGGAGAGGGTAGAGCTCGGCTGTACTGCGTCCGGGTTTCCAGAGCCGACGTTGCAGTGGCAGCGATTAACAAAAGGTCAGGGACTGGTAGTGGGGGAAGGAGGTTCTCTTGTCATCCCTGCTTTCACTCGAAACGATTCGGGCGTCTACATCTGCACGGCGAGCAACTACGTCGGCAAGGACTTTGTCGTCGTTCACCTGTCCGTCTCGTATGCAAGAGCGCCCCCTCCCGACTTTATGAGGAACGACACAAACAACAGGTTGGCAACATCACGTCCATTCACGACTAAAACAAACCCCAATCGTAGCAAAACCAACTCTGATACAGAGCGCCCCCAAGCTGTGAACACAGGTGAAAACGACATAAAAAAGGTGGAAACGCCAGTAAAATTGACCCCAAGCTCAAGAGAACTGACCCCCCGCGAAGAAAATAGGACCCCGAAGACAGGACGTCCGGCTGAAGTATCCTGTGGCGCTGGTGACTCTGGGTACGCGACTCTCCAGGCGGTGGTGACGTCAGTGGTCATCAGTGTTCTCGGGACCATGGTACTGTGCGGCGTCTCCTCTAGGCTTTTGAAGTGGTGCAGACGGAAACAGGTGCATTGAAATCTCAAATCTGTTTCTTTTCTACAAACAGTACTCGAACAAACGAGTCACTTGCAAAACGTTATAAGCTATAGATTCGGGAGAAACTGTGGCAGTACTGTACAAGAGGTACAGATGCGGAGCAAAATGAAAAAGTTTATACTTTCAAATGCTCTCATATTACAGTCAGAATGATCGGTCAAAATGTCATAAGCACATGTCAAGTGCAATGAACTTAATACTAGTAGATTGACAGCACGTGGTTGGTGGAAGATTGACAAGCAAAATTACAAGAGGTTAAAAAAGGTGAAATTGAAGCTTACGAAAACCTAAAGCACTTACCAGGAGTCTGAAATCTCCGATTTGTTGTTAAGTATTAAATCAAATAATTAACCAGCTCTTTTCTTTCCTTCCTTTTCTAGGGACGTGCAAAGTCACTTCAGGTGAAGCTGACCTCCTTCGTCCCCAGAGGAAACGAGCGCCATTCACCCAAGGAGCTCCGCCCCCTTCCCATGAGGCACCTGGAGCTGAGTACCCGTCACAGTACGCACAGCACCATGGACCTGCTGGCCCCCTCCCTGGGTAGATCTCCCAGCAGGCCTAGGGGCATGGCACTGACCAACGCAGCCTTCCCAACCGACAGGGTGTGACGGCCAATTTAGGGAAAGATAGAGGACTATACGCCAAAAAGCAGTTCAGTTCAGTTTACAAGTACGATACCCTTTAGCTCGTTAGGGATAATCTTCCAGGGCTCATTACACATTACACACACAGTACAAATATAAACATATGACTACAAATTTACATACACGTTGAGGTCACACGTCAGACAAGGTACTAATTATAGCTAAAATCATTGAACCAGTTACTCATGACAAGCAACGCATTCCATAGACAGTTAGATAGTTGTGTTTTTTTCTCAAATATTTTGTTAGACTTATCGTCTTTACTTTTTAATTCGGTATCATATATTCCAATGATAAAATCAAGGAAGGATCAATTAATCAAATGCAATTTTTGTCGTTCAGCAATTTACCGTAGTGATGCACACAAAGACACCACTATTCTCCAATGTAGCCATTCTATAGCACAAATACATTAGAACATTGGCACTACAGGTAAGGAAAATAAGTCGCTGCTGTAACTTCAGTCTGTCTCTAAAATGTCTGTTTAGTTCTTTTTTTTTTTTTTACTTCAGAATTCACCTCAAAACAAGGCTCGTGAGAGCCACTTAAGTGTTTTGGGTTACAGTGATGACTGCGTGGTCAGATATTTGTTCACCCTTGATTTAAACCGTTGGAGGTTGTAATTAGCGGTGAAACATTCACGGGGAAGCTTGTTCCACAGTGAAGTGGTTCTGGGGAAGAAACTGTCAGCATGAAATTTTCTCTTGACTGATGGACTATTGAGGAAGAAAGGGTGATTTTCTGCTGTTGAGGTGGCTAAGCGTGTTCTTGCAGAGAATGTTCTTACGCGAGAACTCGATCCAGGGCTATGTTTTCTATGTTGTTGTTTATAATTTTTTTTAGTACCCAGTCTAAAAATTGTGAGTGAGTGAGTGAGTCCAAAAAGTGAGTCTAAAAATTGCTTGTACAATTTTAGTCAGCAAAAAGAACATCAAAATAAACCAACAAGATAATGAGAGTCTTGAATCAGTAGTGGTGAGTCCCGCCTGTCGCCTATGGACGTCCTGAAAAAAGGATAAGAATTATCAGGGATGAGCTGTGGAATGTTTTAGTTCAGTGACAAGAGCAATGATGGTTTGCGCCTTATCCTAATGTGTAGTTAATCTGTACCATGTTTACAATAGATGGCAATTAAGCAACGTTTTAGGAAATATAAGAGAGGATACAATAAGTACCTGGAGCAGTCTGGCATATGAAGTTAATGATCCTGTCGCAGTCATAGTCGTTCCACTTGTCTTTGAGATAAACGCAATCTTCGCCACTCCAGTTGCCGTCCGGTTGTCCCGTGCCCCAGGAGCTGTACGGCCCGAGTGCAGAACCGTCCACCCACTCAAACTTTCCCTCTTCGCGCTGATCGTGCAGGCCGATCCAGAAGAGCCACCCGTTTCTCAAGGACTTGTACAGGGGGACCAGGAAGGCGTTGGTGTCAGCGTCTCGGGGCATGGCGAGGGTGCCGCCGTCTTCGCTACAGGCCGCCGCCGCCTCGCTGAAGTTCTTGAGTGTGTTGAAGGCCTTGTAGCAGATTCCACGGTACATTGTGTAACCTACAGGACAAGATGCTGGAAAACAAAGCTTGTATCAGTAACATGGATGGGTCATATAAAAGTCATATCAGCAACGTAAGTGCAATATATGCTCAATCAACAATAAATATAACGTACCCTCGGGTTTGTAGTTTTGTTTTAAAAGCACATGAAAGAAATTACAAGACTGCGATGACGGCGCACTCAAGTTAATACTACTTGTATAACCGCCGGGATCGAACATAGAATAATTAACAAATAGTAAAAATGGCAAATACATGTGAACAGACAATAAAAATCAGAAATAATGGGGACAACTTGAATATAATTAAATGCGCTGGTCCTAACCCCCATGCCCATGACATTTCAGCGGATAGGACTCAAATGCAGTGTGCTAAATGTTGTAAAGCAGGAGGGTCTGAATTGGTTACTTTTAGACACACACACGCACACACACACACTCACACACACACACACACACACACACACACACACACACACACACACACACACACACGAGCGCACACACACACACACGCGCGTACACATACACACACACACACGCGCGCGCGCGCGCGCGCGCACTCACACACATGCACAAATACACGCACACATACACGCACATACACATACACACATACTGACACACAGACACGAGGGAGGCACACACTCACACACACACGCACACACACACACACACACACACACACACACACAGATTATGGTGTCCCGCATTGCCTGTTTTTAACTAATATTGATCACAAATAGACCAAAATAAAGAGTCAACATAGCAACTGAAAACCAATTTACGTAAAGTCTTCCTGATGTCGTGAAGACGCTGTTCCAGGGCGGCGGTTCGGTTTCGCTCGCTGTCCAGGTCACGTTTTAAGGCGTCAACAGTGGTGGACAGTTGACGCATGCCGTATTGGTCGCGTTTCAAGGCGTCAACAGTGGTGGACAGTCGGCGAAGGTCTTCATGGTCACGTTTCAAGGCGTCAACAGTGGCGGACAGTTGGCTTATGTCGTATTGGTCGCGTTTCAAGACGTCTTGGTCGCGTTTCAAGGCGTCAACAGTGATGGACAGTTGGTGTATGCCCTCTTGGTCGCGTTTCAAGTTGTCAACAGTGGCAGACAGTTGTCGCATGTCGTATTGGTCGCGTTTCAAGGCGTCTTGGTCGCGCTCCAAGGCGTCAACAGTATTGAACAGTTGGTGTATGTCGTCTTGGTCGCGTTTCAAGTTGTCAACAGTGGCAGACAGTTGGCGCATGTCGTATTGGTCGCGTTTCAAGGCGTCTTGGTCGCGCTCCAAGGTGTCAACAGTAGTGAACAGTTGGTGTATGTCGTCTTGGTCGCGTTTCAAGGCGTCAACGGTAGTGAACAGTTGGTGTATGTCGTCTTGGTCACGTTTCAAGGCGTCAACAGTGGCGGATAGTTGGCTTGTGTCGTATTGGTCGCGTTTTAATGCGTCAACAGTGGTGGACAGTTGGCTTATGTCGTATTGGTCGCGTTTCAAGGCGTCTTGGTCGCGTTTCAAGGCGTCAATAGTGATGGACAGTCGGTGTATGCCGTCTTGGTCGCGTTTCAAGTTGTCAACAGTGGCGGATAGTTGGCTTATGTCGTATTGGTCGCGTTTCAAGGCGTCTTGGTCGAGTTTCAAGGCGTCAACAGTGATGGACAGTTGGCGTAGGCCCTCTTGGTCGCGTTTCAAGGCGTCAACAGTGGCGGATAGTTGGCTTATGTCGTATTGGTCGCGTTTCAAGGCGTCTTGGTCGCGTTTCAAGGCGTCAACAGTGATGGACAGTTGGCGTAGGCCCTCTTGGTCGCGTTTGAAGTTGTCAACAGTGGCGGACAGTTGCCGCATGTCGTATTGGTCGCGTTTCAAGGCGTCTTGGTCGCGCTCCAAGGTGTCAACAGTATTGAACAGTTGGTGTATGTCGTCTTGGTCCCGTTTCAAGGCGTCGACAACAGTCGTCGACAATTGAGAAATTTCCTACGAACGTGTATACTAGTACGTACGTCAGAATACCGAACGTAAAAACGAACTATAAAAAACAGCAAATATTTTCGTACCTTTTTAAAAACAGAATGTGATGAGAATGAGAAAAAATAGCAGGGCAACAAGCTTGACGGTAAAGACTGTTACCTCTTTGTTGCTGATCGTCAGAGGGGCGAGTCCCACGGCACCCAAGCTCAGTAGCACGGCGATGCCGGCGGCTAGGCAGCTTCGGCGGGCGCGGAGGAAGCTACAGACACCACGGCGGCCGCTCGCTCCACCCGGATACGAGTGGTCTGGTGGGAAAAGCATACTTTGCTCTGGTTATCGTCAACATACCAAATTAACATCAACAGATCGAGGCCAGGCATTGAGCATTTTATCCTTAAGTAAGGACTCCTTAATTCACATTATTTATGCATAGTGATGCTCTGTTTTAACTAACTATACACATGTCACAAGTATGAAATTCCTATAACCTACCACCGAGGAACAATCGCATCAGAAACACAACGATTTTCCTAGTCCGGAGGCCCGTTGTTGCGGCAACAGTGTTCCTTTGACGAAGCTGTGAAATCCACCGGTGCGAGACGTTCGCGCTGATAAATTTTAGATGCGGAACGTGATTCTTGTTGTCATAAGATTTACCTATATAACAAACTATGCAATAGTCGGTAAGCTATCATATACCCTTAGAATATTTTCTTCTGATAGAACAAGTATCCACCGTATGTAAAAGACAGACTCAAAGTGGGGTCGTGTGCGCGACTCGGAACCTACAGGTCCCGGGTTCGAGTCCTGACATGCCACCGATCTTGTGCCCTTGGGAAAGGCACTTTACACGACTTTCCTCACTTCGCTCAGGTGAAAATGAGTATTGTCCTGTCATGTATTTGTCCCCTGTGTTGGTGGCGGCATTAATATAAGTTGATAAAACTTGAGTGTGCCGTCACCACGTCTGGTGATTACATGTTGGAATAAAAAAAAGCTCGGGTTACCTGCAGACGTGTACGCTGCGTAACGTTCCACGTTATCGGCTTCTACGTAGTACGTGTGTGAAGATGTTGCCTGATCTTCCCGCTGCTCGTCAGAAGCGCCGTTGCCATGGCGGACACGCCCGCGTGAACCACTCTGATTGACATAACGGGGTTGGGGTGGCGGTCCGCTGGTTTGGCGGGTGTCGGGGCCGGACACAGGCGACCGGACAGGCTCTGCCTGCTCGTGCATTTAGACTATGCAGACAGCAGGTACGCAGTACAACAACCAACGCCAAGGTGCATGTATATAGACAAGGATGTCAAGATTAGTCTGAGAAGTAAGGCTACCTTTGCCCATATATGGGGGCCGTGGTGTGACGTATTGTGTCTGGTATTTTGTTTTTCTGCAAGAGCTAGACTAATTTTCGTGAAAAAGGAAGTTAGTCTGGACTGGAGGAAAGAAACAGCAAACATATATATTCAAACATGCGGGATAACTCTATTTATGTTCCTTTCTGGCGTCAAATAAGGGTATGTGACTGGAACTTTGCAGCTGGTTAAAATCGACTGCATTGGAGATCTTCTTTTTTGAGTTTTTTATATTGATATTATTATTATTATTGATATTTTTGTCAATCAAAAACTAAGTAAAAACAAAGTCATTCAACATGATTGTATGTTTTGCAATTTTATTGAAGCAGTCTCCAAGAGGACAGCTCTTCATAGCTTTGTGGTCATCTTCATGTAGAAAACAGTTGTTGATAGCCTGGGTACCATCCGGATTTTCGCTATATGCAACGCTCGAAAATCCGGATGGTACCCAGGCTAAGTTGTTGAGAAATGTGAGCTATTTCATAGAACAACAAAAGCAAGGGACAGTTTCATAACACAATGTAGTGTAGTGTAGTGATCATAAATGCATTGGGAAAAATCTGTGCACTTGGCATGCTGACTTATAGACACGTGTATTTGTGTAAAAAAATTGTCCCTGGCTTTTGTTCCTGTATGCAGGGCTTTGCCTTCTTTCTTATTCAAGCCCATTTATTTGGGTAGTGCAAATGCTGAAATACATGCAGTGGTTTTATTTTTACCATGGCCTCTGACAATCAAATCATAACAGTACGAACATGTGGTTTTGTATTTCTGTTACAAGGATTCTTTCAACCATGAACTTCTATCACAGCGAAAACTACCTTTTTCACCGACCGCAAAATAAAACAACAACTGCAAAATTGATGCATTTACAATACAATTGATAGAGACTTTGTAGTTTACAAGTACTTTTGTACTTTGACATGTATTCTTAGCTCACAATAAAAAAAACAGTAGCTTTTCTATAAATGAAGATGATCAGAAGCTAGAACGATACAAAAAGGGTGCATTGTAAAAAATGAACAACAAAGGATCCCTTTAAGTGTTATTCTGTCTTTTCCTTGGTGTCTTCGCGGTGGTGTAAGAACACGAGACTAAAGACGAAGAGTCCGAACATCATGGAGAACGCACTGGCGTAGTACGGGTACGCGGCCGCGATGAACCGCTCGTACTGCGTGTGGGTGAACGGTCGCACCGAGACCTGAGGGATGGGGAAAAGGAACGAGGCAAAGTTAACAAACTTGAAAAAGTTTGAAAGGCATCCAATGCGATTTCAGGACAGCAAAACTGGAAATATTCGGAATATCTGTATCTGTATCTGTATAGCCAGTATAACTGCCTTTCGACATAACACACCAGAATAAGGCAAAGTTTACTTTAGCACCAATTTTTTGGGGTGCACCATATAAAAATTAATAAAGTAGATTGTAAACAAAACATAACTACAAACCTCGCTGCTACTAATAGCTTGAATCTAAAAAATTCTGAACCCATATCCTAACTTCATAATCTTCAACAAGTACTACAACAAAGATTTTATTACTTTTATGACACTTGGATGGATGTAAAGAATACTAGTATGCTGTATCCAAGTATACATTTAATATCTTTACATTATATAAAGATATTTAAAAAAAATTGGGTGCATTAAGAAAATGGGTGCACAGATCCAATTTTGGGTGCCCCAAGATGCATATGCATGGTGATGTGTATTTTCAGCCCTGACCACTATGACAGCAAATCTCTACTGACCTGAGTAGTAGAGAACAGGTGAGTATAGCCCAGCCTGTTGTAGTCCACTCGATACTGGAACACCCCGTACACATCAGGTAACTTAAACTCCGCAACAAACTTCCCTCCTGAAATAACAGAAACACAGGCTGGTCAGAACCTGTATCATACAACTAGCTATTATATAATAACTGTCTTGCAGTGTGAAAAGCCAGAGCATGTTCTATAATTTAACACAATATCTTAATTTGTTAAAAAAATATACACTGAAAAGTGACAGAATGGATTATCTCATTTGCCTGTATGAATACACATGTATCTCCAATACTACACCACAGTTATGTTTCATACCACAATTACGCAGTACACATTGACCTTATACCACATCCTACCAACCAGGGCATACTGGGCCACAACCCTGTCAATCAACTTAAACCCAATCTCCACCCACTATTTTTTAATCCTTGCAGAAGACGAAATACATACATTGTACATACTTTCATACAAAATTGCATGTTCAGAAAAATTTTATGTCTAAATCTTGAAAATCACATGCAAATTGCAAGTAACTGTTACATGTGGGTACTGTAATTCCTGATTTTTTCACTGTACTTTTATGTTCATTGTTTTCAGTCACTTCTGTACCGTGAACTTATCATTACAGTTAACAAATAATTCCTGGACCTTCTTTTTCCTGCACCTGTCACCACCATGAATATATAGTTCCGTGAACATGTCCATTTTTCTCAGACTGAACTTTTGCTACCGTAAACATAAGTAAATTACAGTATTTTGAATTCGAACCTTGAATGTAGACTTTTTGCTATTTACAGAAAGTGATGAACCCTGACCTTTACGCTGCATGGTGGTGCGTACAAACGGGTCGATCCTCACGAACTCCAGCTGGACGTCGTTGGCGTCAAACGGAACCCACTTGCCGTTCACCAGCTGCTCGATGACGATACTGTACACCTGCAGGTGGCGGGGAGGGTCATTAATTAGGTTAGGCCAAGAAGGTTATGTTTTCAGTAGTGTTTGTCCATCTGTAAGTCTGTTTGCCTGTGAACAGCATAACTCAAGAAGCTTAATATGCATTGTCATGAAACTTAGTAGGTGGGTAGGTCTTGATGAGACCTAGAAATGATTAGATTTTGGGCCCCCTGCCGGCTTTTGTTGGTACTGCAGCAGAACTTCCTATGATTAAAATTGTATAATTTGTCAACTGGAAGGGTTAACATCAAGTGGCGAAGGTATGAGGTCGTGGAACTCTTGTTCATTTTGTTCCCAGCTGTTCCATTACAGCTGTAACAGTTGTTACAGAAGCTACAACTAGCAACATAATGTAATCCAACACCACAGGGTGTCTGCTACAGCACCAGTTACCATGGTGTCTGGTCTATGTCATTGACTTTATGTGTAAAGAATGGAAGAAAAAACAGAGCAAAAACTATGTTTTTCTTGTGCAGAGATAAGAATATACATGTATATTCTATACTCAATAGCTATAGTTTGCTTATACATGTAGATCAGATAGACTATACATGTATATATAGTAACATCATTGCACCCTTTCTTTAGTGATACATGGAACTTTTAGAGAAAAAATTGTGTTTGAAACATACCACTTCCTCCATGACAGTGTATGCTGTGGGGGGTTCTTGTTCCCCCTTGCGATGGTGCTTGACGACCCCCCCTCGCAGCACCCCCTCCTCCTTAAACACCCAGCGGGACAGGGCCAGGGCGAAGGCCTCGTTACCAGACTTGTCATGCCTGAAAACAGACAAACAACTGTTTAAATAACTTCCCAAATGCACCATTCTAGTAGAGCTACATTTGTAGTCTAGAGGGGATGTTAAAGCCATGAATTTGTAAGAACTCCTCACATTTCTACTTCAAGAGTTGCTTTGAAATTCATGATTTTAATAATTTTATTCACTTACTTACTTACTTAGTAAGTACATGTAGTAAGCAATCGAGAAAGTCTCCTCCATAACACTTGGTCTTCCATGGCACTTCACAATTCGTTAGTATCATGCAGGTCAGTGTCACATCGCAGGATGTCTTTATTCAGTGACTTACTAACCTGATGAAACTATTCACGGAGACAAACAAACAGACACCGAACAGTAAAAGAAACAATGCTTACTTCTGAGCCCCAGCGATGGCCTTCTGTACAGCGGCAGTGAAGAACTGGTCACTGAACAGCTCCAGAGACCCGGTGAACACCACACGAGCGTTGTTCCTAGCCTGGAGAGCAGCCACCAGGAGGGTGTTCTTTCCTACAGCATGGGGGTACTGAAAAGGGATATACAGTAAACGTCGATGAAGGTTAGACATCCAGGTAATACGATACGCCAAAAAGCAGTTACTCAAGCAACTGGATATGATTTTGGAAACGGTCATATAGTAAAATTGTTTATTTTTGCCTGGGACCTACATAGGAAGAATTTTGAAGTACAGACTGTAGTGATACATAGGAAACTATTTGCTGTGTCATGAACTTGCAGTTCAAAAAAAATTGACTGAAAGAGAAGGGGACCTTCCCAGTGTGAGTGGTTCAAACCTCACAGTCTGGTTTTACACAGCCTGTATTTACTGTACAAAACTGCCGTGTTGTGCATCGAGGCTGTTTACCTGGTTGTTGTGTGAAGTAAACAAAAACAAGATGCCAGCCATACGACCTTACACAATCAGACGCACAACCCACAGCAGTCTCTCCACTGGAAAACATGCCCTCACCGTGCCGGTATCTAGAACTCACGCTACCGACAGAACATTCATACATACTGCAGTACACATCTGGAACAGTCTCCCAGACAACGTGGTCAGCCTGATCACTGACAACAACCTCCAGTCATTCAAAACAAGAGTACACCGGCATCTTCTTTCCACCACCAGGACTTCTACATGTAGCTAGAACTTTACAACTTTGCTGTAAACCAATGATTAGCCAGGAGTGTTACAATCCAGGCAATTGTTTACATTAGCACATGATAGAAAAAAAAAATACCTCGGACACTTTCTCATCAGGGTAGAAGGAGTAGGAAGTGGAGGAACCAGTCAGGACATCCAACACCAGGGGGTTGTCTGTGTCTGCTACCATGCTGGGAAAACAAACAAATTACATATATACAAATTCAATAATATGTCTGTAGAAGTAGATACAAAAGAAATACGGCTCTTGGTGGCAAATATGCACCAAATCTGTAGTGCGTTTTTGGCACACAGACAGATTAGCCTGAGGGGCTTGGTGGGCGTCACTCCACTGTATAGGTGGGCAAGTCGTGTAAAGTGCCTTTCCCAAGGGCACAACGTTGGGCCATGTTGAGTATCGAACCCGGGACCTATTGGTTCCGAGTCCAACGCTCTAACCGTTGCGCCACCAACACCACTGATCATGTATCATAAATATTGCAACTTGATCATTTTTTTGCCTGCTTTAAAAACAAAGGGTTACAAGTATTGTATTAGCAAACATGTCCTAGTAGCAATCCTCTATCTTTTATGAAAAAAAAACATTGCTACCACTGGCCACTTTTGGGTGGTCCCTTAGATTATATTTCCTTATTGACACAAGCATAAAGAATCCTGTCTATATATGTAGGGCTCTTAATGTTCAATGTTACCTGCACCAGTGCAGCATAAATAGGATTTCAAGCTCTGCAACCACCTTTCTAACATGACAATTTCTTTCGGTCCATGAAGCTAAAGGCTGGGATAGTTGAACCTTGTAAAATCTACTATACTCTACATGAAATCAGAATTACAAGTACATTGTACTTACCCCACCCCCCTGAAGAGAATGGGAGCATCCCGCTTGGTTCCCACGATGTTTTTCACATCAATGAGGTTTTCTGGGTCAGCAACAATCAGGGTGTGCTGGGATAGAACAACAACTTATGTAAATAACAACACATAAACAATGTGATTGTGGTGAGAACAAAAAAAATGGGTCCAATATTAATCTCCAAGCAGATCTTTTGGTGGGGGTAAGACAGTATCAAATTCCCCACCCAATGATACTGTCTTACCCCCACCAAAAGATCTGCTTGGAGATTACCAATGTTACAGTAACTAACCACATACATGATAAGATTTACAGTATAGATATAAATCAAATTTCAATGAATCCATTCTTGTCTTCAGTACAGTGTTAAACAGTGCACAGACTTACATACTAAGCACCAGTACGTAAGACTTAGATGCAATGCCGTTTTGTTCCACTAGGGGGCATTTCTACACAGCTACATGTACTAGTATTTGCTAGACAGATACAGGTAGTACAGGTGTGTTTACCTGTCCCTCGTCAGCCAGGTCATAGTTCAGGTGGTCGATGACGGCTGTTTTTTCCTCATCAAACTCCACACCACACTCACTGGCCAGCTCACGGATCGGCTCACCTGAAATACATGGTCAAATGTACTTATGTTAGTCTCTTCAAGCCATCACTTTAGTACAGTTTCCTTCTATCCTATGTAACAGTTAACTTATGTATTTTTCTAGGAACAAATAAAAAAGAATTGGCACATTTTCTTTAACATACACACATAGATATTGATATACTATACGATACATGTAAAAATCTTCAGATACAAAGCCAAGCCAGGAGATATGATACATGTAGAATATACTTGTAAGTCGATGCAGAATATGCAGTGTGGTATTGAATTCTATTTCATTATGTCATACCCACACCAGAAAACACACATTTCAATGCGAAATGTGCTGGAAATTGAGAACATTTAGTGTCCCTAGACAAAACGTCAATTCTAATGTCCAAATCTGGCATTCAAACTTTGGAAAGTGGCGCACGCGGCACACATGTTCAAATTACTACTAATACAAATGTATACAGAAGTTTAGAAGCCTGTGTGATTCTAAGAAGTTATATTAGAACCCTATGTGATATGGGTAGCAATCACACAGGCCATTGAACATCCGTACAGGTGTTATCACAGCCCATGTATGACATAAAAGTTAATACCGTCCTAGCCACTTGCTAAATAAGATACTGAGATAAGAAACAACAATCCTTACCGATCTCAGAGCTTGCTGCCACCAGGATGTTTCCACCTCCATCAATGAACTCTGTCAGAGCACTGGTGTCCAGGTTACCTCCAAATTCTGGGGTAAAAACAGTTTAACAACATGGTTACAGCTCAGGGAAAACTGTGCTTAAAATGTACTCAAAAGGTCTTTGTATTAATTTCAAAGAGTTGGAGAAATATCATTCCTGAAAGCGTTACAGACTACTTGGTACAGTTGTTCTTTCTTTTTCTTTCTTTCTTTCTTTCTTTCTTTCTTTCTTTCTTTCTTTCTTTCATGAATGGATGGATGAATGATTGAATGAATGAATGAATGAATGAAGAATGGAAAGGAAATGAATTCCAATACATAACGTATACGGTATCAAATAAATTTGAAAGTTGCAATTATGCAATAATATGTCAATGTTAAACGAATCTTTAGTAATTACAATATGTAAAATCAATTTATTAAAACGTGATTAATGAAAAATCTCACTCAACATGCAGTTCAGATAGCTTAGACATGTTGTACATGTATTTTCACAAATTTAAGAACTAAGAAGAAAACGAAACAAAAGCCGACCTTCGACAGACGGAGCGAAGATGATGAGATGTTCGAAGAGGAACTCTCCGTACTTGATGAGAGCGAGGCTGGAGTCGTCTGCGGTCTTGAAGGTCAGGTCAAAGCCTCGGTCTGAAACATCGAACAATTTTTTAGGGTATCAATACATGTATGTACATATGTTGTACAAGCGATTATTTTTTTTAAAAACAAATTACAGGTACACATATATGCAAATTATTGGCATGTACATGTATGCAAATAATTGGTAGGAAAATCATCTGACTTATATAACCCATTTTTTCCCTACCACTCACTGGCCGTGACAGCATGGCATTTGCTCATATATAACTTTATACTCATAGGCAGTTAACTAGTTGTGATGCTAATAAATTTTGGTGCCTTATCATTACACTGGATCCCAGGCTGCTTCCAGAGCCAGCTCTATAGGCTCTAGGGCTAACACCAAATTATGAGCGTAACTTTTAAGATGATAAATAATTTATCTGTCTTTGCCCCCATGAAGAAGACCCTAAAATATTAAGAGGCATTTTTTTTGGAGGCACGTTGCAATTGGTCCTTAATCTGAAAATATTCCCTGTGTAGGCCCTGGAAACAGTCCGACTTTTAGCCTGGCTTAGTCAGGGCCTAGGGTGTCCTGATAGTCAGGCCTTTTCTTTCTTACAGTCTTTCCAGCCAGCCTTAAATCTGATTCCTGCTGAAGTACTTTCTTCTGAAACCGACCCCGTAAAAACTCCCGGCAAGCGCTGAAAGATCTGGGAGGGCGGACAACACTACCAGAACCGTAGAGATGCCGGGGAGCCAACGATGATCTGGCTACAAAAACCACGCTGGGATGTGCATACGTGGTGCCCCTCCCCATATACCGTGCACCTCTGAACATACGCCTCCTTGCACCACATTTACACCGTCTTTGCACCTTCTTACCTGCCAGAGACTTAAAGAACACGGAGTGGGACTCCTTGATGGCCAGGTTGTCCAGCAGGACCAGTGTCCGGCCGCCTGCGTGGACGCCGACAAGAGCCGCTAGCAGAACAATCAGCACACGGGAAGCCATGTTGGAGCGAGAAGAACAAGATACACCTCCGCGGAATGATACATGAAAAATTATTTCCTCTCTTATGAAAAAAAAGTTACTGCAAATATTTCATAGAGTCGAAGATATACTTTATACTCGATAAAATGTGATGTTTTGATGTCATTTGTCGTTTAATGTGTTTAAGATTAACTATTAAGATGCACTATTTTCTTCCAAGCGTCGATATACAATCAGCTGGAGCCGCATCACAGCGTGCAACGTGGCTCAGGTCAAAGGTTATCGATAACTAGTTGATGAGTTAATGATTAACTCATGACGTCAGGTCCAGCATGCCTCGCGGTGGAAGAGGAGGTCATTTGACATTTGGGACAAATATTTAGTGTTTTTGCGGGATTTTCCTGTTGTTTTAAGAGACTGACCATGGCGGGAGACCTTCCTAGTATTTCGTACATGGCTCTGTACATCGTCTCGGCGAGCGTCGTCACGGACTCGCGCTCGGCGACGCACTGGAGGCTGGACCAAGAGCGGGGGCTAGTCCGGCCCGCCGGCGAGTCCGACCTCACCGATCTGCTAGCAGGGGAGGGCGAGACAACAGACCCCCTCCTCGGTATCCTCACGAGAAATACTCAAAACCCATGGGAGGACTCGAACCCGGGAGCGATAGACGGAGCCTGTAGCACGTGCGGGAAGTTGGGATCTGGTAGAATTAGTGGACAAGAAAGGTAAAGATTTGGTGGTTTTGTCTTGATATCTGAGCTAACGGTATCTTCTGAGGTGAGAGGGTATCAGCTGTCAGTTGTTGTTTACGTTTCTGCACCTGTTAAAGAAGACACAGAACCTCGTGTAAATAAGGGTTAGGGTCGGGATAACGCCTTGTAAGGTCAGGTAGCTACTGTAAGTTTCGCGATCGTTTTGATTTTGCAGTGAAAGGCATACAAAAGCGATTTCATGGCAGCAAAAATGGAAATATTCTGAATAAGGCAATCTTTGATATATTCACACATAACACATTATTAGCACATTTGAGTCAGTATTTCATACTCTGGGCTTTTACAACTGCAGAAACAAGCCCCAAGATGAGTCCTTCATTTGCTGGGAGGTACCCAAAAAAAAAACAGCCAAGGGCCCTGCCAGTAACCATTTTCCGTCAGAATTTTGGGTATTTTTGCTCCAAGAGGGTTTATACATTGGGATAGTGTGGTTTTAACTCAGTATGTAGATAAACAACTAGAACATTGACTTTGAAAAATCGGGTTTCCAAGCCCTAAAAACTGAACAGGATGGTGTGGCCTAACATAGTAACCAGAAGATCACCTTGCCTTTAATCTATAATATAATATACATGTGTTTGTATACAGTACAGTAATATAGTGTAACAGCCATCAAATGATAAAATATAATCAACTAAATACTTGATATTGTTTTCCCAGATTGTTAAAACTTGAGTCAGAAACGACGATCCTGACGTGTGGCGAGGCGGTAAACGAGACTCAGTATGACCACCTGGACGGCATCGCGCAGCGCCACAAACACAAATCCCACCCCGAACCCGAGGTCGCCATGATCTTCAAGAAAACCGAGGGAGACGAAATCGACATGAACGCCCTGGAACAAAACCTCCGGATGACTCTCGACGAGGTGGGATTTTTTTTTGTTTCGGGTGGCAGATCTGTTAATGTCTAGACAGAGTAGATGATAATTGTAAATACTAGATGTTAGTCTTTATGTAGTTTGTATGTCCTTGTTCTATATGCTTTTACGGTGCAGGAAGATTAGCTGCCTATTCATGTATTTTTGTACGACAGCTAATGGACTGAATAAAGTATCCAAGTAGGTTGACAGCATGTGGGTGGGGAGGATTGACAGGCAGAATGAAAGGTCATAAGGTCAGACACAGGAAATCGACACGAACGCTCTTGAACAAAATCCATGGATGACTCTCGACGAGGTGGGATTCTCATTTGTTTCGGGTGGCAGATCTGTTTGTCTAGACAGAGTAGGTTGATAGCATGTAGGTGGGGAAGACTGACAGGCAGAATGAAAGTTCACAAGGTCAGACACAGGAGATGAGGTGAACTTAAAGGTCCCATAATGTGGCTGATAGAAGTTAGCTTTTTGTAATGTACATGTATCTTTTATTTTGTATCTTCTGTTGCAGAATCCCAAGTCGATAGCCGTTTACAACCAGATAGGAAACTTCTTCCGAATACGCGGGAACACCTTCTCCGCCATCGAGTGCTTCCGGAAAGCGTTGTCGCTGTCGCCTAGCAACCCGGACATCCTGCTGAACCTGGCCAGAGTGCTGTTCAACCTGCAGTATCTGGACGACGCTATCCACCTGACCAGACGGTCACTGGAGCTACAGCCGCCTGGACAGAACTGCTGGCTACATCACTTTACACTGGGTAGGTTCAGTCTTTTGAGACTGACTGACAGATGTAGACTATCTATAAGCCTACCAGTACGTCGGCAGAACGTACTGCACCTGCACAAAACCCATAATGTATTAGGCATAGCACTTCGGCAGAACGTACTGCACCTGCGCAAAACCCATAATATATTGGGCATAGCACTTCGGCAGAAGGTACTGCACCTGCGCAAAACTCATAATATATTGGGCATAGCACTTCGGCAGAACGTACTGCACCTGCGCAAAACGCATAATATATTGGGCATAGCACTTCGGCAGAACGTACTGCACCTGCGCAAAACGCATAATGTATTGGGCATAGCACGTCGGCAGAACGTACTGCACCTGCGCAAAACCCATAATGTATTGGGCATAGCACTTCGGCAGAACGTCTCATATAAGGTTGTATTCACACATATAAGGTTGACATCCCGTCTGTAGCTTCATAATTTGTTTCATATTCCTCAAAATATGAGTGTTGTGGAGTTGATTGAACCAGAATCTTTTTTTTTTTTTTGCAAATCAGAAAAAAATGAAGAGGCGAATCTGAGAACCAACAAATTAAATTGGTGTGGCCTTATGTAGCAATGTTAACTGCATCATTTAAGCATCTGTTTCTCCCTTCTGCAGGTGAAATACTAAAAGCATACGGGAACTACCACGAGGCCAGTATCCACTTCAGACATGCCCTGGACTTAAATCCCTCCTTTCTACCTGCCAGGGCCCATCTTCAGGTAAGACTACATAAAAATACAAGGAATCAAAGATCTCATACATCATGTACTTCTGTAAAAGTTTTGTGAATTTCTTAATTTTTGTGAATTTCTGTCTTAGCATTTTCCCACTGGCAACAGACATGCATATGGTAAGAAATTAAATACAGGAAGTGAGATAATCTTTTCTGAGACCTTTGACCTAACTTCCTGTTGTTTGCTACTTAAATGTACTATTCTGTTCAAAGGATTACAAAAATGTAACGTAAGTTTGAAAGGTGCAAGCTTTTTGAGAAAATTCACACAAATTCACGAACATTCATTTTTTTTTCGTTGCTTGCGCTGAAATTAAAGCTCTCACTGGAAGTGAATTTAAGATTTAACAGCAGCAACATTTCATGCTATGTACAACATGTCTCAATCAATTCTCTTATTACAATGCTGTTCCTATAGTCGTTGGCCAACCCGCAGACCTCCTCAGCAACAGTATACACAGCAGTCATCATCAGCTGTCTGATCGTGGGGGTGCTGATCTGTTTATGGCACAGCCTGGACATCTGTCATCACACGTGCGGCAGTCCCGCCAGAAAGACGCTCCGAACGGTGGACTGGGATCGCAGCCGGATTTCCATACCGTCCCGCGTCATCCGCTTTAAAAAAGTTTAACCGAAAAAAAAACTTCCAGTATTTAAAAAAAAGCCATATTCTTGACCAATACGAAGGTACCAGGGTGTTGGTACTGAAACCAGACATTGTTGTTGGTTTTACAGAAATTTCCAACTGAAAAGATGAAGAAGCATCTTTTTTTCACAATATGTAAATGCATGGAACTTTCTAAAAAGGGTGTTGAAATGTGACAGTGATGTAATAGTGGGTTTATATTACATGTTGTTAGAGATTCTTCAACAACCGAACTGCCAAAAAAGGCAAACGTTTTGTTTTATAACAAAAGTTTTTTTGAATAGCTACCTCTACATAGAAGTTATTTACTATTGCAGTGAGAAATGACAGATATGTTACCGATATGTGGAAAAAAGCGGGTTAAAACAGCCTGGAGACTGCAGTACACTTCAGTGCCAGTAGGGGACTCTGTTATACATTTTGCCAGTACTGTTTTGTTCACAAATTTGTTGCAAACATTTTACCCACTCGAATTAAAGGTGGCCACATGGTACATGTAAAATTTGGAGCATATCTCACTGGCAAGTGCTTTTGGCACATGTTTACCTCTGATTTTAACTTAAAAGTTTTATTATTTGAAAAAAAAAAAGATACTGTTCTGTCGTGAAGATGTTTCTTTCAGAGAGCATAATGGCTTCTCAGAGATAAAAAGGTAATAAAAGTAACTGTTGTTGGTTCATTGTATTAGTTAATTCAATATTTTGTATGTGTGCAAAAGTTCTTGGTGAACACCATCCAAACACATGTAAATAGACCTGTCCTTGGTGCTGAACACCATCCACACACAGGCAAACACACCTGTCCTTGGTACTGAACACCATCCACACACAGGCAAACACACCTGTCCTTGGTACTGAACACCATCCACACATAGGCAAACATGCCTGTCCTTGGTGCTGAACACCATCCATACACAGGCAATCACACCTCTCCCTGATACTGTCCTTGGTGCTGAACACCATCCACACACAGGTAAACACACCTGTCCTTGGTGCTGAACACCATCAACACACATTTAAACACACCTGTCCTTGGTGCTGAACACCATCCATACACATTTAAACACACCTGTCCTTGGTGCTGAACACCATCCATCCACACACAAACACACTTGTCCTTGGTGCTGTACACCATCCACAGTTACACACACATACAAACACACCTGTCCTTGGTACTGAACACAATTCACACAGGTAAACACGCCATCCACATACAGGTGCACACAATTTGTATTTCAAAAACATACCTGCTCTATATCTTACTGACATAAGTTGACCACACATTGAACATACTAATCAAATAAGGTTTGACATGGTTTCTTTTATGTCAAAAATCTCAGCATCTTCCACAGAAAGTTTGTACAAAGAAGATCATTATTATAACAATAACGTTACCTAAAGCCATGATTAGAATTTTCCATGTCCCTTTTCTCCCCTATAATTGCTGTGATAAGATCAACTCTCTCAAATATCGCAAATGATTTTTGTTGGCCCAAGAAGTATAACATTAACAACACCCTGTGATACATGTAACTAGTTGGGGGAAGGTTAACCTCCACCACTCTCTAAGCAGAGGTTTGGTTTTTGGTTTATTTTTAGGTGCTTTTAGGCTATTTGACGGGCTTTCTTTATTGCACTGGTACCTTTTTTTACACTGTTAGGAAAGATACCAGCACAAAAAAGAAAGCCTAATAAAAATAAGCCAAAAACCCAAACCTACTAGCTTGGAGAGTAAACTTTCACTCCTGTACCCAAAGTCAAAACTTGTACCAAGAGCAGAAATTTGACACAAGTGAAAATTTTGCTCAAATTGAGTTTGGAAATCTTATTTTACATACATGTATGAATGTTTACATTTTTTACACTTCTTTAAAGTTTTTTCCTCTCATTTTACTAACCATAAGTATGTCATATACAACAAATGTAACAGTTGCATAAACTACAGGACATACAGAACACAAAAACAAGAAAGTAGTAGTGACTGTTTTATTCATTGACCAAGACATACGTACATAGAAGATTTCAAGCTAACACTGCTTGGGTGTTAGGCCACACCAATTTAATTTGTTGGTTCTCGGATTTTTTCAGAAAAAATATGAAGCGACAGGGCGAAAAAAATAAAATAAAAACAGGTCTAGGCATCCCATTATAGGCTTAAATGCTACGGAATGAGCCATGAAGTCAACACAAAAGGCTTGGTTAAAATTTAAACATTGAATTTTGAACTTTTAATCAAACCACTGCAATGATAGATGGGAAAACTGTAACAACTAGGAAGAAAAAGGACTTTCCTCAACTGTTGGGGGCAAAACATGAGCATTTTTCAGTTGATTCAGGACCAGAATCAGATATTTTTTTTTTGCAAATCAGAAAAAACGAAGAGGCGAATCCGAGAACCAACAAATTAAATTGGTGTGGCCTTACATCAAGAAGACAAATAGTACTTGTAAAAAAGTTTTGAGTTTGCTTAAAGTACTGTTCAACCTTTGTCTCATATCAGAAGGTCAAAAACAGCATGGCTAACACAGTGAAGAACACAACAGGTTTATATATAAACTACATCTTGTAACCCAGCTTGTTTCTTTCTTTTTGTTTCTTCCGTACAATGTCTATGGATCTGTCTTTCCACGTGCTTTTTCTCAGTTTGATGGGCCTGTTACCTACGTATTTTCCTGAAAAGAAAAAAAGAAAATGTTAGATGAGTTTATAGATATACAATGTCCCTGATGCTTGTTTCGTATCATAGGCTGGTTCCAGCTATTAAAACAACAAAGGGTGTAAGCTTGTTTCTCCGCTATTTCAGCGACCTGAAATGATGATGAAAATGTGCTAAGAAATGGCAGTAAATGTCAATACCAAACAGATTTCCTCGTTCAAAATATTTTTGTTTTGCAACCTTAAAATTGCATGGGATGCCTTTATCTTTGTTTCCAGTTAGTAAAACTCACCGTTCATTTCTCTCATGGCTTTTACAAAGTCGTTAGGATCCTTGAAGCTGACGAACCCGTAGCCTTTGGTCTTGTTTGTCCTCTTGTCCCTGATGACCTTGGCCTTGAGGAAGGATGGATATTTGTTGAATGCTCGGGCCAGAACATCATCATTCACCTCGTTTCCTAAGTCTCCACAGAAAATTCTGAAGTCATCTGGAAGGACAAAACAAGATATAAAAGGTTTAAGACTTCTGGAAAGTGTATCTAAAAATGAATGAAGACAAATTATTTACATAGTCAATGAGTAAACACAATTATTCCATAGTTTTAAATGACAGGACCATCCTACTTCTGGTAGTAGTAGTACTAGAAGTAGAAGTAGTAGTTAGTAGTAGTGGTAGTAGTAGTAGAGTAGTAGTAGTGGTACATGTAGTTGTTACTGTAGTAGTCACTTTAGTTATACTTAGTAGTAGGAGTAGTACATGTAGTATCATCTACAGTAGTATCAGTGGAAAACAAGTATACATTTGTAGTTGGTTTATAACCCTGACCTGTCTCCCACTCCTGCAGACTGGAGTCCTCCCACAGCTGTCCTGCGGCTGTTCTGATGTACTTCTTCTGTTTCTCCTTCTGTTTCCTCTTCTTCTGGTTGTCTGGTCCTGATGTGCTCTCCTCAGCTGCTGCTATAGCCTGGCCCTGTTCTACCGTAGGGGCTGGAGTATGCCCAACACACAACAACAAAATCAGAAATTTCAAGTTTTCAGGAAAAATTTTTGTGACCTAGAACTTTGAACTTAATTCACCACCTTCACATCAGTGGCACAAACGGACAAGACGTGAGTAGAATAACAAATTAGAACAAAATATAACAAATTATAATCAAATGTCAAGCCTTAGGCACCTAACTAATTTATAAAATAATACTTAAATATGCAAGTTACTGTTATAACAATACAGTTAACAAATTATGGCAACTTATACGGTACCGGTAACAGCATAAGAAGCTTATCACGTTTTGTGTTGGACCAAAAGTTTTAACTTTCATGTATAAGCTTACCTGCTTGTTGGTGTCCAGGCTGTGGGAGTTCTACTGTTGGTTCCACTGTGGGCAGGACTGGTGTGATCTCAGCAGCCTGGGCCAGCTCTGTGGACGGCTGTTCTTCTGACTGGAACAGGGAACGAAAAAAATCTCAACAATTAGCATATTCTATAAAAAACTGGGTGTAAATTTGGGACATAGATGCACCCAGTCAGCATAAAACTGTAGCCCTCCAGAGTTTTGTACCATGCCTTTCATTGAGCATTTCAGAACCTAAAATCTTTAGACACAGAAAAAATTTCAACAATTAGCATATTCAATCACTTTATATTCAACACAATACTTTTATATTCACGGTTTTCTGTACCACGAATTTATCATTACCAAGAACAATATATAGTTATGGGAACATGTCCATTTTTCTCGGACCGCAAATTTTGCTACCGCCAATAAAATAGACTCACTAAGTATATATATCGTGAGTTAACATCTTGGATATTAACTACATAACACTTTTGCAGATATGCAATAAGAAAGAAGCAGTACTAACATGTTCTGTTGCTGTAGTGGGTGGTTTGTACACCGTGGGTCCACTCTCTACAACCACTCCAGGCTGGGGCCGGGGGGTGGGGGCTGCATAGGGACCTGTCTGGGCAGCGGCATCGGCCCCGGCATGGGTCCCATCGCCATCCGCTCACCCCCCATCGGACCAATGGGCCGACCCATCATGGGGCCTACGGGACCGACCATGGTCGGTCTGACCATGGGAGGGCCCATTTGGGGCAGGTGGACGGGGGGGATGGGGGCCCCATGTGGGGCAGGGGGGGGTAGGGGTGGGTGGCGGGGGGACCAGTGGGGGGGGCGCGTGCAGCTGGTGGGGGATGGAAGATGGGGGCGAGGGGCGGGCACCGGACGGCTGACAGGGATCACCGCTGGACCAATGGGAGCTGGGAAGAGAAACAAATATTTTTAAATACTAGTAACACTAATCCAGTAGTATTCTTGAGTAAGACTTAAGACCTTTAGTAAATTACATTAAAGATTATATTATTCCCCCCGAAAAGTATTGGGCGGGTATGACATAAATAAAATATAACACAGGGTATTCCGCATCACTCTCGGTCCCAGCCCTCCCGCGGATCGGATCTCCCTCCGGCCTTCGGGCGATCCGACGCGCAGTCGGGCTGGTACCACGGGCGATACGGAATACCCTGTGTTGTATTCTATATTTATCACAGCCCATGACATAAGAACTTATGTCCCTGCTGTACCTGAAACATGTATAAAGAGGAACAAACAGAAGTACCTGAGACAGGCTGCACCGTGATAGGTCTGTTGATAATAGGTGCAACACGGACTGCAGTCACACCCATTCCCATAGTCGCCTGGGCAGAGGCAATACTAGCTGCAACCTGCTCGTAGGAATACATAAAAATTATTAACATACTAAGCAGATGTTTAAGATTTAACACTTAAGATCCCACCAAACACTTATCAATAAAAAAGATTAAGCATAGTTCTCAATAGGCTGTTTCAGCGTAGGGGCCCCCTATGCTGTGATTTGAACCCCTATAGCTATGCTTGACTGTCTGTCAACCAGTGTGGGGGTGCTTTTTGAGCGGGAGAACCTTCTGACCAGACCCAACATAAATCTTCTTAAAAAAGCAAATTTGACTTAAGAATGAAGCCAAAACAGAGGTAAAACATTAACATCACAAAATCTGTCCCTAAATTAGCAGGAAATAGTGTCTCAGGGAGTTATTATTTTGAGGGAAGAATACCAGACCCCTGCTGTAGCCTTGTTTTTGTGCAGTTTGCGCCGCAGAAAGTTGCCCTTCTTTACCTGACCCCTACACTGTGAAAAAATCCTGTTGAGAACCCTGTTAAGGGTCCAGTCTTACACAGTTTGTGCTTACTGTACAAAACTGGTAAAAAACACATGTGTTACTTTTACTGTATATAGTAGAGGGGATTCATTCCTCAAGCTACCGACATCTTGCACACGCAGTCTTCCCTCAGTAAGACACCTGGAGCCGCATAGTTCCCGTTTAGAACTTTTATTCAGCCTGTCACACGACCGGTTTCGCCTGTGTGGCTTCTTTAGGTGTACAGAGGCTAATGAATCCCCTCTACTATATATAACATATGTTTTACTGGTTGTGTGAAATAAACAAACAATCGGTTCAAAATCAAATAACACAGAGGAGTTAGAGTACATGTGTACTTGTATTGCCCATACCTGGTTGAATGTGTTAGCTCCGATGACCATGCGAGGGGGACCGCCGGGTACGGCCAGCGCGACCGCGGGCAGGGCGGGAGAGGGAGCCGCTATCTCCTGCTCAAACCTAACACAGACACAACAGACAGTCATCAAACACTGCCACAGACACTAGGCAATTTTTAACCCTTGTCCTGCTGGCATTCCTAGCACAATATTTTTCAATAATTTCATGTCTTAATTAGATCATAGACCCCCAATTTTTTTTTGCCCCACAGTGGCATAGTTACTTCCGCATTTGCTGCGTTTCGCTGTGGTGTGATGCGTTGCACGAGAAATACCCCCCCAAATCGTACCTATACAGGGTGCTATATAGGTGGTACTGTATGTGCAGAACAACAATTGTTGTGCTCCGCAGGACAAGGCCAAGGGTTAAAGGCACCCAATGCAATTTCAGGGTGGCAAAACATTTTTTTTAAATTCTGGATGAAGAAATCTGTTTGATATGGACGTTTTCTGCCTTTTCTTAGCACGTTTTCGTTATCATTTCATATTCAAAGCGTTTGAAATACATGTAGTCCAAAAATAGCTAGAACCAGCCTACGATACAAAACAAGCAACCGTCAGTGATAGTTGCAAGCTTGCCTCACACTCACAGGTATATATATAATTCATGTTTTGAGGTGCACATGCACTTTGTAGGTAAGTTTCATCTATAAAGTTAGATGGTATTCTACTCAAAATTATCATGTTTCATCTTTTTCATATCACAACTTTTCAAAGATTTTATCAAAAATGTAACTATATATATTTCACAGCCATAATAATTTTACATATATAACTAATAAAAGGCGTCATAAATTATTACGTTTTGACAACAACATGCCGATAAAACTTCGCACGTGTTTAAAAAATATCCAACAAAACGCGATTTCATTTAAAACGTCAAAATCTCCCACAAATTTATCTTGGTGTTGGGGGGGAGGGGGGCAACAATACCTGTGTAAATTTCTTGAATTTGACGACGTATAAGGTACCACAAAAGTTCTCAAAAGACGGTAAACGGCGTCTTAAGGTACAAGACGTCACGAAAATGACCGAAGACGTTTCTTACCGGCTCATTTCAGCCTCCATTTCCCGCAGTTTCTGCTGATGATCTTCTGGGACCGCCATTTTCGCTTCTTTGTGAGTAGCAAGATGCACTGAGCGCACACAAACGAAAT